GAGGGAGTCTCCTACAAGAGATAAAAACTGAGTTTGGCATGCAGCAGGTGCTTAATAAATGTCATCTGCTGCCCTGCTTTCCCGTATAGATTTTGGAGTTCAGCAGGTGATTGACTATCCCAGCAGCAGGGGTAGAGGACAGTGTGCTGGATTAAGGAACACCTGACCCCGATTCTTCTGTGTTTTATACTCCTGGTAATCTCTTGACTTCTCTGAGCCTCTTTTTTTTCATCCTTACATGAAATGATGAATACTTGCCCTGCCTACCTCCCAAGGTGAGCTATGTTGAAAATTAAGTAAGTGTCCTTTAACACCCAGTCAGTTACCAGGAGCTCTACAGGCATAGAGAATAGGTTTCTGCTGCCCTCTTGGGAGTACAGAGAATACTGTGAACGTTTATACAAAGAGAAAGGCTTATTAACACCACGGCCCAAGGTTTAAGCCACTAAACATCAAACAGAATGCTTGGCTTTCTTCTTCCCTGCCCACCCCCGGGTCCTCTGTCTTGTTGGCATCATACAGGTGTGCCAGATGCATTTGGGGAAGACAGCCCCTATGGTCAGTCACATCTGGAGCACCTTCACTTACCCAGCATGTGATTTTTTTTTTGTTTTGTTTTCATGAATATAAAGGACAGCTATGGAAGGGGGGCTGACTGGGCGCCGGGGTGTAGGTGGGAAGGCAAGGCTCAATCGCTGTGCAGGTGAGAAGGCTGTAGGAGATGTGTGTGACCAAGCCTCCTAGCCCTGGGCATGGCCTGAGGCAGCCCCTAATGCATTCATCATATATTAGTACAGTATTACATGCAGGAACACGTTAATTAGGATTCAGCACTCAATACTGAATCAGAATCCAAATCTGAACATCTACGTGATTCCTGCCGAGCAGCCTGACTCCCGCCTAGGTTTACAATGGGGAACTCACTACCTTCAAAGCTTATTCCCCATATTTGCATGTCTCTTTTAAAAAAATGGTTCTGTGCCTTCCATCCTTTAGCGGAACTGCAGAGGGGTCAAGAGCCAGGAGCTCTGGAACCACACTGCCCAGGACCCAAAATCAGTCTCCTCCCTTTCTTGGCAGTGTGACCTCGTGAGTTACTTAACCTCTGTGTGCCTCGGGTTCCTCATTCAGAATATGAGGGTCCTAGTAAAACTTATCTCACAGGATTGTTAGGTGATTGAGTGTATTCATGTGAAAAGCACATAGCAAGTACTTGGGAAATGCCAGTTATGATTGTTACTCTCTGATTTCTTGTCCCCTTTATGAAAGTATAAAGGTCGAAGAATAATGAAAGCACATTAAAAGAAAATATGCCAGGCGGAGAGATAAATGAACTGTTTGCATAAACATGAATTAAGAGAGTCACACTCAAGGAAGAATTGTTCCCGTTGAGGACAGCAAACATCTGGAAGGAATTAAATGGGGGAAGAGGGTGGGTGGTGGTGGTGGTGTGGGCTGAGAACATACTGTGACTGTTGGAAGGAGATAATTCATTTTGGTGGTGGGTAAGTGATCCCCCCCCCCAAAAAAGGGAGGCTGCTCTGGGCTTATACAGCATGATTTGATGCCCAGAGACTATTTACCCCTCCAAGTAATTTCTGTTTTGATTAGCCTGGATACCTAAAATGTCGAAACCTTTCCTTTGAGCTAATTCATTACCTTCAAAAGGCCCCTTCCCAAATGCAAATATACTAACGCAAAAAAATAACAAGGTACCATTTTTACATCTGTGAAATTAACGATACGAGGATTGGGGCACTCAGCTGCACTGTTTCAACTGGAAGCCTAGAACATCTGGGATGGGCACATAAATAGATGCAACTTTGGGGTGAAGTGATTTGGCTGGAGATTTTTAGAATCACAAAAATGTTTATACCCTTTGATCTACTAATTTAACTTCTGGGAATTTATCGTTAGGAACATTTTCAAAACAAGGAGAGACTTTCCTGCATTTATTGTCTATGACTGAAAAAAAAAATTTCAATGGTAAGAGAATGGGCAAATTACAACACATCCTCTTGATGGACTCTATGGGGGGGGCACCAAAATCATAATTACGAAAGACAGAGAGAAGGATGAGAACATGTTTATGAAATAATCAAACTAGAAAACAAAACAAAACAAAACAAAAACACAACCTCCGAAATCAGATTGTAAAGATTGGGGATGCCTACAGATGGAGCGAGAAAAAGAAAACCAGTGTGCTTTGTTGGAGGTTGTGGGATTGTGGGAGAATTTTTTTCTTTCTTTCATTTGGGTGTACGTTAATATTGGTTGTGCAATGAACAATAATAAAAGACCCAAATAAACTCTCAAGGAAGGGGTAGCCGACTATCACTACCACATGGGCAACGGTCAGCCCAGTTTCCTGGACAGAGAGAGGGGGCCCCAGAGCTGGCAGGTTCTGAGAGGGGGGCTGCCGGGCAAGGCCAGGGCCCTCCAAGGGCACAGAGCACGAGTCAGGCATGGGCACCACCTGCAGAGGGAAGGAGGGAGTGGGGAGCCGGCAGAGAGGGGGAGTAAGGGAGATCACCTACTTCGTGGTGTAAGCAGGCCTGGAACTTAAAGCAAGTAGATTGCCCTGTTCCCCTTAGTCACTCACAAATCCCAGGTTTCAAACCAGAATTTGCAAAGCCCAGAGTGTTCTTTACTGCATCTGATAAACTGTGGTGTCTGTTTGAACTCCAGGGGCATCACGGGCAGGGACTGCAACCAAATTATCGGGCTTTCTGTTTTCCAACCGTCCTGTCTCTAACACTTGCCAACCAATCTGGGTCGAATATGGGACAAACACACTGGTTTTAAAATCAAATTCTGGCCTATGATGATTGCTTCAGCAGACAGTTCCTGTGGTTTCTTAGGTTGTGATTGGGTCATGGATTCGTTTCCCCAGAACCTCTACTCTTATTGACAACGCTTCAGCTAAGCTTCCAGAGCATGGAGCAGGGGCAAGAACCATTGGACCAGGAGGCAGAAAGCATGCCATTAGGCAGTTCCTTTAGACTCTCTTAGCCTCAGTGTTTTCACTGGAAATTGGGGAAATTTTTCACCAAAGACTGCATAGACTCAAATCCAATGGCCAAAGTCTGAAAAGCCCAGACAGATGAAGCTAAACAGGGCCCAGTTTGGGCCACATGACAAGTCTCATGCCCAGAATGAAGGAGATGATCCTTCTACCATATTTTGCCCAGTCCGTCCGCGTTTTGGAAAACCACAGTTAGATCAAGCACCACCTCTAAGGGGATGTGGACACACTGAAGTATATGTAGAGGGCGGCCAGGATGTATGGAGGTTTAGAACCTAGTTAGGCGAGGACAGATGAAGGAAATGCAGATTTTCAATCAGAAATTTTGAAATTCTGAAGAGCTGTCTTGTGAAAAAAATATTTCACTAGCTCTATATGACCCCCAAAGGGCAGGGTCAGTGGATAGAAACTACAGGAAGGCAAATTTCCAGTCTGAACAGAATGCAGAACATTCCAACAGTTATAAGTAATTGGAGGCAGAGAGGCGGGTATAAGCAGATTGTAAAGACTGTAAAGATTGGGGATGCATGCGGATGGAGCAAGAAAAGTGGGTGCCAAGTGGGTCACCACTTGGCATGTGGTTTTCTTGGAGATTAAAGTTCTGGGGGAGGGAGAAGCTGAGAAGTGCCCCACGTGGCACTATGGGCCTCTGAATCTAATCTTAAATGACATAGTTTCTCCAGAAGCATGGTGGCAGCTAGTCTTCATGTGGCTGAAGCACCTGCACAACTATCTGTCCCCTTCCCCGCCTGAGGTTCTGGAAGAGAGCTATCCTATCCCAATTTCTCATTGTTTGAACAGGCTGAGGATGAAGTCCCCTGCTGTGCCCATTCCAAGATTTCCAAGGCAGAAATCCCTCTGTGCCTCATCTGCCCCCACCTCTTACTCTGTCCCACTTCTATTAGTAGTTTCCATTTCTCTAGTGTGCAGAGCAGAGGTGGGTACAGCCCTGGTCAGTGCACAGCAAATAGATGGCAAGCATCTCTAGGCTCCTAGCACCAGGGTTTCTGGTATACCTGAGTCAGCGCAGTCCGCAAGCTTCCAGGAGGAGACACCAGATTGCAGTTATTGAGATGCACATCCCTCCCCTTAGTATTGTAAAATAGCTGCTTATCACCCAGAAAAGGAAACCTCTCTGAGAGGAAAGGGCAAAAAGTCACTGAGATGGGTTCATTGCTTGAGGAGAGAAATAGATGATTTAGAAAAAGGGTTGGGGGGGGCAGAGAAGGGAAGGGATGAATATAAAAGCATCTATACCTGCGCTGAGGGGCCCTCGCGCAGCAAGGGAGGGGATGGGGGGGTGGGACCCTGAACCCAGGAGGCTGGGAAGTACAGTGTTGCCCCAGAGCCTGGCTGAGTCCGCTGCTGGCATGGCTCCTTCAAACGATTCTGGAGCAGACTTGTAGGGAAGCACCCCAGTTCTGGAGCAAGCAAGCCCGCAGGGTGGAATCCTGGCTCCATGACTTACTTGCTGTGCTACCTTGGGCGACTTTAACAGCTCGCTCCCCAAAGGGGGATAAGAATGATACCTACCTCCTACCGTTCAGAGGTTAACACTCAATATCTTCGGGCTAACCACGTGAAACCGCTGATGGCCAGTCATGTTCCACATACAGAAATGACAATAGCATAGGGATCGACCTCAGACATAATGGGGAGTTGATTATGACTGGTCTGCCCCTTAGAATTATCTCGGGCTCTTTGAAAAACGCCGAAGCTCAGGTCACACCCCAGACCAATTTAATCACAATTTTTGTGGGCAAGACACCTCACCAGGTGAGCCTACTGGACAGACAAGTTTGGGGACCACTGGCTTAGCACAGTGCCGGGGATCTATTAAGAGTCACCTTCTGCTTTCCAAACTTCACCTGTCGTTTATCGAGCACCCACTGCATGCCAGACCTGCCTCTTGGGACCTGGGACCCTCCCCAGCCGAGCTGACCTCTCCCCCCTCCCCCCCCCCCCCCCCCCGCAGTGTCCAGGCCCCGGAGCTCCCCGGACGACCTGAAGGCGCTGACTCGGAACGTGAACCGGCTGAATGAGAGCTTGCGGGACTTGCAGCTGCGGCTGCTGCAGGCTGCGCGGCAGGCGGACCCGACCGAGCAGGTGTGGAAGGTGCAGGACGCGCTGCAGAACCAGTCGGAGTCGCTGCTGGCGCTGGCGGGCGCCGTGCAGCGGCTGGAGGGCGCGCTGTGGGGGCTGCAGGCGCAGGCGGCGCAGACGGAGCAGGCGGTGGCCCTGCTGCGGGACCGCGCGGGCCAGCAGAGCGACGCGGCGCAGCTGGAGCTCTACCAGCTGCAGGTGGAGAGCAACCACAGCCAGCTGCTGCTGCGGCGCCACGCGGGCCTGCTCGACGGGCTGGCGCGCAGGGTGGGCGTCCTGGGCGAGGAGCTGGCCGACGTGGGCGGCGCGCTGCGCGGCCTCAACCACAGCCTGTCCTACGACGTGGCCCTGCACAGCACGCGGCTGCAGGACCTGCAGGTGCTGCTGAGCAACGCCAGCGAGGACACGCGCCGCCTGCGGCTGGTGCACAGGGGCATGGAGCTGCAGCTGCAGCAGGAGCTGACCGTGCTCCGCACGGTCACCGAGGACCTGCGCCTCAAGGACTGGGAGCATTCCATCGCGCTGAGGAACATCTCTCTCGCCAAAGGTAGCCGCCTGGCCCACCCGACCCCACAGTGCCTGCCTGGGCCCTACCAGCTCTGGCCTTCTTCCTGCGCACCCCTCCCCAAGGGCCCAGGAGTTCCCACCCGCCCCACCTCGCCCAACCCACTTGCCCCGGGGGGGCGATTCCCCCCCCCCCCCCCCCGCCCCCGCTATTCAGTCTTGCCCTACAGGACCCTGGGATTTTCTGCCCAAATGGCTTGTGCCCATTTCCCAGCCTATGTAGGTCTCTCCCCTGGATAACCTAACCTCCCTTCCACCTCCCAGACAGTACACTCAGCATCCACAACCCCCTGGGCATGAGAATGGCCAAGGCCACCCTTATGGGGGACCAGGTAGTCAGAGCTTGGATGTGCCAACGGGAGCCTCCAAGTGTTTCCTGCTGCGGAAAAGTGGAGGGTTAGGCTGCAGGCTCAGGCCGGGAACAGGGAGGTGCTCCTCCAGGGTCCTGGTATTCCAATGCCTAGAGCCACAAGGAATTGGAGAATCCCAAATTTGAACTTGGCCTTCCAGGCTGTTATGAAGTGTATTCATCCAGGCAGAAGAACACATTTTACTTAACAATTTGTTAGCTTCATTTATAGCTCTTAAATGTCATGGCAAAAATGTGTAGGCCTCCACTGGTATTCTTGCCCCAGGCCTGCAGACTCTAGAGCCTTTAGAGCCAGCTTCTCTCTTTTCCACGCCTAACTGGTCCCCCCACCCCCATCATGCCTTCCTGCTACTGTCTGCCCTACACATCACCGTCAGAGGCACCTTTAGTGAAACGCACTTTTCCCACATTACCCCCCACCCCGCTCAGAACTCCACCAGGGCTCCCCAAGTTCTGCCTGATTCAATAAATACTCCTTAGCCTGACAGTAGGCAATAATAACACCACGGTGAACGCCAGTTATGTCACGTACTGTGCCTTGTACAAAGCATGCTTTGTATGATGCCTTTTATTTTTAAATTTTTATTGACGTATAGTTGACACACAATGTTACATTAATTTCAGGTGTACGACAGCGATTAGATAATTCTGTATACCTTATGCTATGTTCACCACGAGTGTAGCTACCTCCAGATAATGTCTTTTTTTTTATTATGTTGTTAATCACCATACATTACATCATTAGTTTTTATTGATGTAGTGTTCCATAATTCATTGTTTGCGTATAACACCCACGTCTTTTAAAAACAACGGTGAGTGTACTAATTCAGGAAGCTGCTCACAGCCGCACGCCAGGAGGTGATGGAGCCAGGATTTGCACCCAAGCTTTTCTGATCCCAGAGCTGACCCCAGCCTGACTTTCCTGCCTTCTCCTCTGTTCCCATCTACCAGAGGTTATAAATGGAACAGTCTGTAGGGGCAAGTCGAGCAATGTCCATGAGTGAAGTGACCTTGGTGTCAGGGGAGTAGTAGGGGCCATGGCAGGTCCACCTCATTTGGGCCAGGCTGGAATATGGGCCTGGCATTGACAAAGTCTTCCCATTTTTCACAAGAAACCAGAAACATGGAATGTTCTAGAAATTTTTATTTGTCTAATTCTGTGGGTCATATATGGTCCATAAACAGCCTGTGTCCACCCCCCTGCCCCATGGGAAGCATCTGGTCCAGTGGGACACGTCTTGTCACTGCCCCAGAGACACAGCCCGTCCTTCCCATCACCCTGGCTTTACTCCAGCTATTCCTCCTACTGCAGCGCCTCCTTCCTCCTCTTCCTCATCATCATCCAGATCCCACTGATCCTTCAGATCTCACTCAAACCCACCTCCCGCGAGAACCCCGCCAGCCCCTCTAGCTCACTGAAGCCTCCCTCCTCTGAGCGTCTCCATGTATCAGAGCGGAAAGTAGGAATGATGGAGCCTTCCATTTGCATAGTCTTTTCCAGTCCACAGAGTGCTTTGGGGTACATAATTTTGTTTTAAAGTGGGTCCCTACGACCGACTGTGAGGTTGGTTGAAGGCAGGCTTTGTTATTGAGGGCAGGGTAGGATTCTTGCAGAAAAACAACTGAGGCTCCCAGAGGAAATGCCTGATTTACACAAGGCCACACAGCTGGTAATGATCTGACCCAGGACTTTGTGTTTTCAAACAGTGTTAACAAGGTATAATTTATATGCTGCGGCGTTCACCCATTGAAGTGTATAATTCAATGATCAGGCCGGGATGTTGAACCCACTGCCCGGTGCTCACCACACTGCAGTCCACCCCGGCCCACCCCCTAGCGTCCCCCCTGCTCCCCCCCCAGCACCTGACAGCGCAGTGCACAGAACTGGGACCCCGTATATGTTGATGAAGCAACTGTTAGATCTTGAACCTGGACAGTCAGAGCATTGATTTTCTTGTCCCGGGACACTCAGGCTTTCACTTCCCAGAAATCAAAGGAGGACAAGAAGTAGAATTTATTCTTCCAGATCCACACCCCTGGGATTTTAGTTTTTCCCATCTTCTTTCTTCCTTGGCCCCCTCTGCCCACAGCAGTCTGTCAGGTAGTTACTAATAATAGCAACGGTACCAAATTATGACCCAGTCTGAGCCAGACATTGTGTTGACATTAACTCTCTAAATAGACATTAAGGACTACTAATCCTCACATCCTGCAAAAGGGTATTATTGTCCCCATCTTATAGATGAGAAACTTGGATAACTTTCCCACTGTTTCTTACCCAGTTGGCAAGTGGCAAAGTCAAGGTTTGAATGTGGGTCTTTCTGATTCAGAATCCATATTCTTGTCACTGACCATCCTGCTTCCTAAGGTGGAAAGTTACCAGCTCTGAGCAATGAAGGAAGAAAAGAGCGTGGTCCCTTGGATTCCATTTGAGGGGGGGGCTTCCTGGGGGGTAGCCCCTCCCCACTTCCTTCCTCTTGTAGTCAGGAAACATCACCATGCCTCCTGCTGGCACCTCCTCCTGGGCCTCTCTGAGCATTTCATAGCCTGCCTGCTTCTATAATTTGCAAGTGCGCTCTCCTTGGCTTGGACTGAAGCTGCTCTGGGCATCCATTTGTGAAGGCTCTTCCAGTGGGATCCTCCAAGTAGTCTTTCTTTGGTTCTTAAGATTCACCCTCCATTCCCTGGAACCGGAAGTTTCACCTCAGTCCTGCCCAGGTCTGCCTTCCAATCCTCGAGCTTTGCGTTCTCAGTGGGCTGCTAGATTTTGGAGATGAACACCGCTCAGTCCCTCTGGCTCCCGGGATCACCACTGAATCGGGCACCTCCCTTTCCCACCTCCCTCTCTCGTAGTTTCCAGGGACCCAACTGGTATGATTCCCGAGGATTCTCTTTGGCATATCCATTCAATGAGACAAAACTCTACCCTGGCTTTTGGATAAGGGATGTGTTACCAGCTAAGCTTCTGTGCATTTCCATACTGCTCTCTGGAATGGCCTTTCTGCCCTAACTTTGTCCAGTTCCTGTCTTAGTCTTTAAACACACACACACTCACACACACGCACACTTGCACTCTTTGCCCTTGGCTCGTGCAGAATCCACAAATACTCAACTACGTATATTTTTCAAACATGACCTTATTTATGTTATTCCGGGGCTTGACCCCAAATGGTTTTCATTCTCTCACTTCGTTATACAGTTTTCTATGAATTTTGTCTGCAGCTTGTCTTTTGTGTACACTCACAACAGTTCTTTCTGTTTCTGCTTTGGGTTTTCAGTATTAATCATGTCTGTTGAAATCTGTCTGTGGCTGGAAAGAAGCAGAGAACTTAGATGATCAGAGAGAGAAGGCATCCAGGAGCGGGGAGATAACCAGAGACGGGGGCATATCAGGAGGGGCAGATAACGAGAAAGGGGAGGCATTCGGGAGGAAGAAGGTGTGAGCCAGGCAGGAAGGCAGGACTCTCCGCCATATTCAGATGGCCTGTTTGCTGGATGGACAGTTACAGAATCACAGAACCTTACAGTAGTAACAGGCTCTGCAATCACCTAGTCCACTCCTCTTGTTTTACAGTTGAGGACTTGAGGCCCAGAGAGGAGAAATGACTTGCCCAAGTCAAATCCCAAGCCGGTGGCCCAGCTGGGACTTGAAAATCCATCTCTCAGTTAATGAAAACAACTCAGCAGGGCAGATTTATGTGTGAGCTGCTTTTTTCAAGAAAGCACACCATGCAGTGGAGAGCCCAGCAGTGTTTATAAAGGGTTGACATGATGGAGGGAGACCTCGGGTCCCGGGCTCCAACTCTGGCCTCTAGTGCATAGGGACTTGTTGGAGGGATCAAGCATCTGTGTGGATGGGGCCATATGTAAAGAGTGTTTCTGCCCCACTGAGGCCTGGGAAGCAGGGACTGGGCGGCAGCTCGCTGGGCCAGATGGCACTCTGTCCTGTCACCTTCCACATTGGCCTCTCTGCTGGGAAGGGAGTGGAGAGCCTGCCCTGAAAATGAGCAGTGGCACCGGCCTCGCCCACCACCCTTCAGCCCAGGAGGCTCCGAGGAAAGCTGGGCCGGAGCGGGGGCAGCCCCTGCACCTCTGGGCCGAGTGTCCCCCAGGCTGAGCAACGCAGCTGACGGGCCCTGCCCCACACACACAGTGAAGGAAGTGGGAGAGCGTGCAAAGCTGTAGAGGGGAAGCTGACAGCTCAGGGCCCCAGTGATGTCAAGGGGGGAAGGAGGGCAATTAACTGAGGGGCTCCACTTTGGTCAGCCGTGCTGGGATTAGCGCGGTGTGGGGGGGCAGTGTCTATATTACGGTTTTGGTCGCGGTTCTGCTGGCTTCAGGCCCACTTTCATCAGCTGTCCCTGTCCTGTTTCCAGCACAGGCAGGTCCCCTACGCCATCGCTCATGCCAGGATCCGGGAAGGGAGGACGGATTGCTTCTCCCTCCCTGTTGGCTGGGCCCCACAAGAACCCAGTGCTCAAGTCACATACCCTTCGTTCTGTTCTGAAGAGGTTTCCAGCTGGTGCAGCCCAGGGGCAGCCCCCCGGAGCGGGGAGGCAGAGCTGCACTGGGGCCTGTGGGGGAGGCCGGGACTGGACTGGTGGGCGGGCTCTGAGAGGGAACCCTGGGCCCAGGGCACAGGGCTGGAGGGTTCCCTCGGCTCCTCCTCCTCCTCCTCCCCATCCCCCATGTAGGGGGTGGGCTGACAGAGACACTGGCACCTCGGACTAGAAGCAGAGTAGAGGGGGCTCTGGAACCGTTTTCCCAGTGGAGGAGAAGGAGACCCCGCTCCTCCTCGTCCCAGACCACCTCCATGCTCTGGTCTGCTCGAGGACAGAAGAGATGAGCAAGTCACAGTGCCAAGAGTCAAGAACTTAAAAAGCTCAGCTGCGTACCATTAGGACCGCTGATACCGTAATAGCTTCTACAACTGCCCAGAAGTCATTCATAGACTCTCTATGGTGTGTGAGGCACAGGGCCTGTCCTCCTTGGGGACCATGGTGCAGGATGAGTGACGGGGCCCAGGGAGGGGGCCCAGGGTGGCCTGCCCAAGTTCAGGGGTGCTCCCATGAGCACAGTCATGTCTGAGGGGCTTTCCAGTTCTCAGATTTTGGGGGCTCTGCCGAGGGGCCCCGAGAGTTCAGAATGGTGTGTGTGTGTGGATGTGAGTGTCAGGCCTGACGGGGACAGGGCTCTTGAAAAGGAAAAGATCTGGCGGATGTTTGGGGACATACGAGAATGTTTTTGCTGAGGTGAAAGGGAGCTTGTGTCCAGAAGCATCAGACTGTGAGTTTGTGGAAGGGGTCAGTCAGGTGGGGAATGATCTTCAGGGGTCTCCGATAGAGGGGCTGTAACCCCTTGTGCTATAAGGGACCTCAGAGACTGTGAGTTCACTCGATTCTGACGAGATTAATGGGTTTTAGAGAGACTGCAGACAAGGAGGTCTTTAAAAAGGCTGGGAGCAAGACCCGGATGATCGTGGTAGCCGTGAGGAAGGAGGTAGAGACATGACATGGGAATCACCTCGATGGTGAGCCTTGGTGAGCAAGGGGGGGGGGGGTGGAGTACAGAGAAAAGGGAGGAGTCAAAGCAAGCTCAAGATTTTTGGCCTAGGTTCCTGGGAAAATGATAAAAAGTCAGACCCCAAGTGTGCATTCCCCACAGGCATCAGCGATTTGAAGAAGCGTTTGGTCGTTGGAGCCCCCGGCAGCCTGGCCTCATGAGACTCACACGGGCCACAGTTTAGGTTCTTCTGAGTCTGAGGGTCTAGTTCCATCTAAGGGCATGACTAAGGCTTAGAAATCAGCAGACACCTGTACTGTCCACTCCACCTTCCTCCCAGTTCCTCTCCAGTAAAGGCCCTCAGTAACCACTCATCTGTGTCTTAAGAACTATACCCACGTGTAGGATGTTTCCAGACCTGCGTCTCCCTGAATGAGCCAGCCAAGCTTGGCAAGGTGATTTCAGGGGCAGCTCAGAATGACTATACATGGTGATCTTGGGATAGTTCTGGTGAAGGCTTATGGGGGGAGAGGGGGCACCGATGGTCAGGATGGCCTTGCCACTCAGAGGTTACCAAGCCCCTTTATGTCCAGCACGTCATGGAATCCACTTAATTCTCAAATGTCTGGGGAAGAAACTTTAACTTAGATTTTATAGAACCAGGACCTGAGCCCAAGACACTCCATATCCATACGCAATGCCTACCTTCCAAATGATGTCCACCACCCTGATGCCCCACCACCAGGGCCATTCCCTGGGCAGCCTCCTCCCTTTGCAAGAATTACTCCTGGGAAGATTCAGACATTGAGTCACGCCCACAGGAGAGCAAATAGAACAAATTCGAGTGTTCAGTTAATTGCCTTCTTGACCCGCTCATGTTCTGGAAGCACTGAGTTCCTCGTGGGGGAGGGACAGAGAAGAGTGACAAGGAGGGGAGTGTGCTGGGCACAGGGAGAAGGATGTCCTTCCCAGGGACAACTCGTGGAGTGCAGACATCCAGGCAGCCCTCAGTTTCCCTTGCTGCAGTTCTGACCTGACAGAGAGATTGCTGGAATGGGGGTATAAAGCTCATCTGCTCCTTCCACCATGCCTTTCCTTTGCTGTGTAATCTGAGGTGTGTCTTAATGCTGTCGTCTGAAAACTGGGACCACTATGGCCAGGCTCACTTTGCTTTTCTTCATAGAAGAGAGGAAGATGGCCACAGAACCCGGTCCCCTTTAAATGATTTGTGTGTAACACGTGCATTTTTAAGTTGTTGATTGCTTTTTCCCTGTTTATGTGCCATTGAATCATTAAACGGCTGTCAACTTGGGTTCGGGTCTGAGGACGGTGCCAACTTTTGGCATGTATCAGTACATCTCGATCTTGGCCGCCTGGTTGTTTTGTATGTATTAACACCCACTGGTCTCATTCATTCATCAGCTATTTCTTGTGCAATCCATTGCTGCTATGCTGTGAGTGTGCATGTTTTGGTTTCCTAGGGCTGCCATAACAAAGGACCACAAACCGGGTGGCTTAAAACAACAGAAATTGATTCTCTTACCATGCCGGAGGCTGGAAGTCCGAAGTCAAGGTGTCCCCGGGGTCATGTTCCCTCTGTAAGCTCCAGGACACAATTCTCCTTGGCCTCTTCCTAACTTCTCTTGGTTGCTGACATTCCTTGGCATTCTTTGGCTTGTAAACACTCAGCCTCCCTTGTCCCATAGCAGTCTCCCTGTGTGTCTGTGCTTTATCTTCTTCTAAGAACACGGCCCATTGGGTTAGGACCCACCCCGCTCTAGCATCACCCCCTCCTAACGAATAACGTCTGCAAATGACCCTATTTCCAAATAAGGTCACATTCTGAGGTTTCAAGTGGACATGCATTTTGAAGGGACGCTCTTCAATTCACTACACTATGGTTGTGGCATTTTCCTGGGTCTTCTTTTTCTGTCACAAGACAGCAAGAGTGGGGAGCTTGGTGTCTGGATCTTCACAGCTGGGACAGGGATGTCAAGGATGGAGCTGGCAGTTTTGTTAGGGAAAAAAGAACACGTGGAGGACAAGGCCGTGAGAGATAAGTGTCAAATGGCACCACGTGTGTCCATTCAGGCGGGCCGTGCCCACCCTCAGCAGGAGCTCTGGCTCAGAGAAGCTTCGGCCAGGAGGCAGCCATGAGCCACGTGGGGTGAGGGTAGGGACAAGAAAGCGTAGGAGATTGACCCGGAGGGCAGCAGGCTGGGGGGCGGGAAGGTCTAACTGCATTTTGGGAACGGGGAGCCATCTCGTGTGACAAGTGAGGCAGCAAGGATGGGGCCAGACAGACCGGAGCTGGAACCTGCACTCCTTTTCTCGATACCCGGCCGTGTGGCCGCAGACAAGTAACTTCAACACCCAGCCTCGTTGTGGGGACGGAATCCATTCACATAGGCTGGAATCCCTGCCACAGTGGAGCCTGGCCCTGGAAGAAAGCCCCGCTCAGGAGCAATTAGACGCCCCCTTCTTCCCCTCAGGTGCGCAAGCCAGAAATCTGGACATAATCCCGGTCTTCTCCCCCACCTTCACCTACGTTTAGCCAAGGTCTGTCTGTTCTGCCTCCACACAGCCACTCACATCCCTCCAGGCCACCACTTCCCTAATTCAGGGAGGGTTCCCCCGCCTCCCACTCGGGGTGCAGCCTCCTCATGGCCTCCCATCCTGAGCCATTTTCCTCGTGTGCAGATCTGATCACCCTGTTGTTTCCCTCAGGCACCGCTGCCGCTTCGGGTGCCCTCAGGGTCAAGTCCAACACTTGGGCCAGGCCTCCGAGACCCCCATTTGCTCACCCTTCTCATCCTATCATGTGCCCTCAGCTTCTAATCCCACGGTAGCTCACATCTCTCTTTCTTTAAGCTCCAATAGGGATTGTCCTCTCTGCCTGGAGCTCTCCCTCTCATTCGGTCTTAATCAGTCCCGGCTACTACAACAAAATACCACGGCCCAGGCGGCATAAATAGCAGACCTTTATGTCCCACAGTTCAGGAGGCTGGAAGTCTGAGATCAGGGTGCCCGCATGGCTGCGTTCTGAGGAGGGCCCTCTTCCTGGCTTACTGGTGGCTGCTTTCTTGCTGTGTCCTCACATGGCACAGGGAGAGGGAGAAAGAGCACCCCAAGCACAGTGAGGGAGGGAAGGAGGGAGCAAGGGTGCTATCTGGTGTGCCTTATTGGGGGCCCTATCCCCATGACCTCATCGAAACCCGATCACTTCCAAAGGCGCCACCTCCAAATACCATCACATTGAGGATTAGGGCCTCGGCGTGTGCATTTGTTGGGGGGGGGGGGGGGTGGTGTGGATCAGAGATATTCAGTCTTCCCTTTACTTAGCCGCCTTCTGTTCCTCCTTGAGATTTCACTTTAGATATCACTTCTTCCGGGAAGCTTTCCTTGATTCCCCCGTACCCATATAAGACTGGGCTGTGTGCTCCCAAAGCATAATGCTGACTCTTCCTCTCTTCAAGAGGGAGTTTTTGTTTCCTCCACAGGTGTTCTGTTCCAGAAAGCTACCTTCTAACCTCGGTGCCATTTGTAACCCTTTCAGGACCACCGGGCCCCAAAGGTGATCCGGGAGATGAAGGGAAGGAAGGCGAGCCTGGGATCCCTGGATTACCTGGACTTCGAGGTGATTGGGAAGCCCCGGGAGGAAGCCGCGCATACCAAGAAGGGGAGGGTGCCCCCAATCCTTCCCTGGCCCTCTACTTGCTCGTTGATATGTGATGGGCCTCCCTGGGAGAATGCCCAATCAACCTATCTTCAAATGCCCCGTTCTGTCAGAAGACTGATAGGTTGTAGGCATAACAATAGAATGGAGCAAATACTTCTCCATAGAAAGCACCAGGATGTGAAGGAAAGGGGTGCACGAGAGGCTCACAGCTCCCTGAAGCCACTTCCCACCCCAGGAGTCAGGTGCCATATGACCAAGGCCTGCAGAAGGAAGGGAGGGTGTTCTGCAAGTATGTTTTTCCTCTTCAGTGTTTCCCGGGTCAGCAGACCCCTGAGGCTCCCTCCTCCTTGCTGATTCTGCCCAGATCAATGAACACACTAGTGACAGCTCTGAAGAGCCAGTCGCTGGTGGGGAGGGTAGCTTCTGGCCTTCTGGAAAGAGGGCGTTCTTCTTCGACTCATTGTCTCAGAAGTTCCTGTCCTGTGACTTTTATCAAACTTGGCATCCCAGTCTGTTCACTTCTGAGTCTGCTGTGAGCAGCATTGTTCTAGAAGAATGCAAAGCCTTCTAAACAATGCAAGAAAAGGAGGAGTTTATTCAGGGAAAGATGTCTGTTAATGTATGTCAGGAATTATATCTCTAAACCGTCCGCTTCCTAAGTCTCGAGGAGGTTGCGAACAGGAGAGGGGGCAGAAGCTAGTAGAAGGAGAGCCCACAGCCTGGCTTCCACTCCTGGCTCCCCTCCAAGGGAACTCCCCAAATTCAGAACCGAGGATGCCTAGACACTCACAGAGCCTTGAAAGCATTTTTCCTGCCTTACTAAATTGTACAAGGAGGAGCTCTGGGCATATCTCATACTAGGTTTAGAATTCTGCGGCAACAAGGCGGTTGGACTCCAAGCAGGTACCTTGCATTAGGCAGGAAAAAGAGAAACCAATCAGCCCTTCTCTGGGGTCCCACCACTCTCTGGGGCCACACGTCCTCTTCCAGACATTTGATGTTAGCTCTGGAGGAATAATTACTGGAAGACAGGTTTTTCCAAGTCACGGAAAGAGACCAGAGAAAGCCAACTCACATTCAAAGCAGGAAAGAACAAGTAATCAGTTAATTAAGAGTTCTTTGGTTTACAGAGATAACTGTGGGCTTAGGTCAGGCCTCGGGGGGGGGGGGGGGGCGGGCAGGCCTCTCACTGGGTGAAAGCATTTGTTGATTCTGGCTCTCCATGGTGAAATGCAGGCAGTGGCCACGGGGCCTCGTGGCCAGGAGCCCTGGGGCCTGATCTGCCAGCAGCTCATCCATCCCATTTACTGGCTTTGCTGACTTTCTCCCTTCTCAGCCTGGGATCCCCTCAGCTATACGTCCCTGGATGTACAGCATGGAAGGGATCTTCGTGGCTTTTTTCTTAAAGAGGATGGGGAGCCGCTTCATCTTCCTCCTACCCTAAATGCCAGTAAGCACTTTTCATCCAGCTTGAGACAAAGCTGACTGACCACAGGCTTTCAGTTCAGGAAGGCCAGGGCTCAGATCCCTCTCTGCTGTGTGACCCTGGGCAGGTTACTTAACCTCTCTGGGCCTCGGTTTCCTCCTTTGTAACATAGGTGAAATAATACCTCAGTTTATTGTGAGGACAAAATGAGATGCTTTATGAGAAGACTCCAGAACAGTACCTGACACATAGGAAAGTACTCAAAAAAAAAAAAAAAAAAAAAGTTTGCTGAATTTAAATCTCCAGCATAGCTGGAGGTAAAGGGACATCTCCCAGATGGAGTGAGCACCACCACCATCGCTCACAATAGGATTGGACCTTTCGGGGGGCGGGAAGGGGTCCAGCCTAACTGGATAAAAGGTGCCTCTGGGGAAGGTTTGTGCTGACCTTTTGGACACTTGCTTTTGCAGCATCTTTAAGTGAACTGAGAAGAATCAGGAAGGAAAAGCTGCAGGGGGATGCCTGGTTGAGGCGGACTGCTGGGCCGGATGATGACCTGCAGAGGCCCTTCCAGTTCTGAGTCTGACCCTCCACAACTTGTCCTCTGTCTTCCTAGGGCTGCCAGGGGAGAGAGGCACCCCAGGACTGCCAGGCCCCAAGGGCGATGATGGGAAGATGGGAGCCACAGGACCCATGGGCATGCGCGGGTTCAAAGGTAATAACGAATCTCTGAGCACCCATGTAGCCTTGCTCACCACCAGCCCCTGGCACCAGCGCGGACGCTGGAGTGGAGGACGGGGTTTGCCTTTTGGCTCTGCCACTGACCAGCTAGCTCAGGGACCTTGGACAAGGCACTTTGCCTTGTCAGACCTTAGTTTCTTTGTCCAAAACCCAGAAAGCCTCATGATACCATTCTTCGCAGGGCTGTCCTGAGGATTACACGGGTCACGTTGACCTTTTGTCAGCTCTCCACTGCTGCAGAAATGCAAGGCAGTGTCCCTGGGGGTTGCGGCTCAGTGGTGTAGCCAGGGGAAGCCAAGCTGGGAGAACAGGCTCGCGGGAGAAACAAGGGGCTGCAGACCTAGGACACCCATCTCGTTCCCCGGACCCCCAGATTCCCAACAGTCCATCCCATGCTTTTGACTCCCCCCATATTTGAAACGTTAATTCAGTTCTCAGATTTACACTGCCGATGGTGTTCCTGCTGAATTGGTTTTCCTCCTGATGGCAGTCACCTTGTTCATTGTTAGGGGCATCCACGTTATTAGTCAGTCCCTGGCTTTCCACAATCTCTTCAAGAGTGTGCAGACTTCTACCGTAACCGCGGGGCAAGATGAGGAAATCGGGTGCTGGTTCCCCTGTGTTAACCTCCTCACCTGTGAAAATGAAAATGAAGGAAAAGTACTATTAATCATCCCCCCCCGCCCCCCGCCATCTAGGAGGGTCTCTGCGTCTTAGATTGCTGGGAACTTTTAGGCTACTTGCTAGTGATTGAACAGGCTGAGGTTTTCCTCCCTTTTATGATCAACATTTTTTAAAAAATGATTTTAAAACAGATTACAAACGCAGCACGTGCTTGTTGAAAAAATTTGACAATACAGAAGTACGTAAGGTATAAACTAAAAAGGGAGTCCCCTCCCCCTTCGTCCCTTAAGATGTTAGTCTTTAGAGTGACTACTGTAAACACTTTGGGGCACATCCTGCCAGATCTTTTTCTAAGCATATTCATATTTATGTATATGATTGCCTTGGGGTATTTTTTTTTTTTTCCCAAAACTTGGATCACATTAGGCATCCTTCTCTGGAACTTGCTGGCTTGCTTTTTTTCACCAGACAATAGGCCATAGGCTTTTGACTTGCAGATATCTTTCTGGAGGTACTTGGAATAGAATTCCCTGGTCATTTTACTGCCCCCTGGAGTGGCGTCAGGACCTTCTACTTCTTTGTAGCCCAAGATGCTAGCTGGACAAAGAGTTCTGTTCTTTCCACCATATCCTGAGAAGGAAATTCTACAATTTCCCCGGAAGCTCTGCCTCATGTTTCCTAGCCTCCCCGCCAGCCCCCCACCGCCCGGGAAATCTACCTGACATATAACCCCTGTCCTCCCGAAGTCACTGAAGACCCTCCCCCCATCTTTTCCTCTTGTGCTTATTAGGGCAAACTTGGCTGTGCACTTCTGAAACCTTGACTGCTTACTAGGAATATCTTTGCCCCGTCTCCTTCCTGGTGAATACCACGTTCTCTAGCCCGTGCTGGTAGATGCTGCTCTTCGACACTTTAATTAGGAGGGAACCCCCCGACCTCCTTCCTGGGGTGACCAAAACATGCAGCATAATTGACTCAAGCTCTTATCTTTCCTGCTCTGCCAGCTGAGAGTTTCTCAGGTCTTGGGTCTTGGGTTGATTCATCTCCTGCAGATAATATTTTACCCATGGTCAGGATTCGTTTCCACTTCTAATTCCAGTTTTCCTCCTCCGTGTCAGGTGACCGAGGCCCAAAAGGAGAGAAAGGAGACAAAGGGGACCGAGCGGGGGATGCCGGTAAGGACGTTCTACTGGGGTCACTGGATTCTGTGGCAACTGACATCCGAGCAGCCCCACACATTTGGGGGATGGGAGGCTGGAACCATGGGCCAGGGCTCCCGTGTTAGAGCAGCTCCCTCCCCGTTCCAAGGCTCTGCTGGCCCAGCCAGAGACAGCTATACTCCAGGGACACCATCCACCTTCCGGGTGCGGTATAGCGCAGTGGTTGTATGGAATGATCTGGAGGCAGGCTGCCTGCGCTCCCTCCCGGCGGCCTTACAGGCTAGTCAAGTAATCTCTGCACCTCAGGTTTCTCATCTGTAGCATGGGGTGAGAGGGATCCTTACCCCATGGGATCACCGTGAGAATTAAATGAGCTAATTCACATAAAGTGCTTATTACAGTGCCTGGACCGGGGTTAGGACTCAGTGAGTGTTGAACATTATTATTCTGTATGATGCGTTAGTTCAGACAAGCTGACTTCCCTGGTGCTTACATGGGGAAAGGTGCAGAATCCCTTTGGTTTTCCTCCTTTGCCATGGACTGAGCAGTGATGCCAGGGAATCTCATGATCAGGCAGAGCACCAAGTCTAAAAATGGCAGTCTTTCCAAGTGTTCTCCCTAACATGTTGCCAAGAGACGCGAGCCTATCTAGTTATGACACTGTTTTCTAGGGTTTCTTCCCCCTAGCCCCACGCCCCCCAAGGGCTACACGTAGAACCTTGGAGAGATTGTCAGAGAAGAATGAGTCTCCTACGAACCATGAGAGACGATGGACTCTGAAAAACAAACTGAGGGTTCTAGAGGGGAGGGGGTGGGGGGATGGGTCAGCCTGGTGATGGGTATTAAGGAAGGCACGCTCTGCGTGGAGCACTGGGTGTTAGGCACAAACAATGAATCATGGAACACTACATCCAACACTAATGATGTAATGTGTGGTGATTAACATAACAATAAAAAATTTGAAGGAAAAAAAAAAAGAATGAGTCTCCTAGCCAAGTTTAACAAAATATTAGCATATAGTATTTGCTGGGCTCTGAAATGCTGCCGTTCCAGGTGAAGCCATGAGCAGATTATCCCCTTCTAGGGCATCTGTGGTCCAGTCCTGGCTCTCTAGGAGGACTGGGCCTGGAGAAGGAGCACCTGCATCCAGGTTCTGCTGTGACACTCCGGGACCGATGCCACTGCGCGTTCACACACTGGATCCAGACCAAGGGTTTCCCGAAGGCTGATCTTTGGTTCTAGTACTTCCCTCCCAGTCATGCAGGACCAAGAAGGAGACCTCTCTCCTAAGTAGTGTCCTTTTCCAAAGTCTCCTGAAACTTGAACTTGCCTCCTATTTCCTCTGGCCTTCTCTTTCCCAGGGTAGGATTCAGGATCAAACAGGAAGGGCTCCTGGGTGGCTTAGTCAGTTAAGTGTCTGCCTTCAGCTCAGGTCATGACCTGGGATTGAGCCCCGCGTCGGGCTCCCTGCTCAGCGGGGAGTCTGCTTCTCCCTCTCCCTCTGCCCACTCCCCCACCACCACTCATGCTCTCCCTCTCCCAAATAAATGAATAAAATATTTTTTAAAAAGGGGGGGATCAAACAGGAAAAATGTATGTGACAGCACTTTGTTGCTCTAAAGTGGTGGCCATTCTTGAGGACAAGATATGCTTATGCTTACCCTGGACTCATGACGTCCACCTTACCTTCGATGCTAGAATCCACAGAACAATTTATGTGGTATAGTCTTTCTAGCATTGTCCTTAGCCCCTTTCTAGGGCAGCCAAGGGTTTAACTGGGAGTGTCCTGGCTAGACGAGGAGACCTGGTGGGCTTCACTAGGAGCCAAAAGGAGAGTTTCGAAGACAAGAGAAGGCCGTCTGGCTGTGCTCTAGGACATCTGTGATAGATCTGAGTCACGCTTATCTAATGGACTGGGCACTGTACTTTGTCTTTGGGGTGCTGCCTTTGGCTCTGTGGTTGACTGCTTTCTGATGGAAGGCTGCCAGTGTAGCTGAGAAGGACTGTGGCATTTAGTGCTGTGAAATAAAAAATTCCTGACGGGGTGGGAGGAAGGGAGGAACTGTGGAAAGTTGACCTTTGAGAGGGAGATCTGCCCACATACCAGGGGGTTCCTGTCAGGAACTCTGGCAACTATTCCTCAGCCAACTTGAGAGGAGAGGGGAGGTCTGTGCTAGCCTGGGAAGAGGTGGTGGTTGCCGAAAAAGGACGCTTTCATTACTGTTTACCTGGCTTCTCTGGGCCCAGCTGGCTGGGCTCTGCAATGGGATTGGGCTGTGAGGCTGAGGGCACAGTGTGGAGGGGGAGCTGAGCCACAGTGGTGTGGGGCTCCCACAGGCATGGGTGGGGAGCATGGGGACAGGGCATCGGACCCACTTGGCCCTGGAGTCTCTGGGCTGCACCACAAGAAGCTGATGTCAGCTCGGGACAGCCCCTCCCCAGGGAATGACGGCGTTCTTTCCTGCCCTGAAGAGGCTACACCCTCCCTGGAGCCCAGAGCTCAGACGGTGGCCTGGATGCAAAGCTCTAAGCTTTTCATTGCAGTCTCCCTCCAGTCAGGACCCAGAAAGTATCTTCATGGGTGATGGACCTGGAAAGTGAGCTGGCTTAGCAGAGACGGCTCCACAGATGGGAGGCTTTACACGGTGCGCAGAAGAACATGGGAGACACATAGGAACAGAGCATAAAAGGCGAGCTGTGCATCCATCACCTGTTTTCAGAGGCTTTCAGTGGAAGGTGGACTCTCCCAAGGCAGGAGCAGAGGCAGAACAGAAAACCCAGGCCTCTGGCTTCTCTAATTCTGGAATGAGATCTTAGGCCCCCGGTCTTGAAGAGTCAGCCTAAGCTCCCTAAAACCCCTAGTGAGTCCCTCACCTGGAGATACAGATTTAAGGAAACCATTGACACAAATTGGGACTGCCCCATGCAGGGGGGCCAGTGGGGGGCTGCTTTCCCACGGCTTCCACCCCCTGGCCTGCCTCTGACCACACCAAACCCATGCTATGGTCAGATTCCGGGTTCGGTTTTTAAGGAGCTCCAGTCCAAGGGGTGTTAACTGGATCCCTGGGACCCGGGCTCTGAGGAGGAAGCCAAGGATCATCTTTCAGGAAAGTGTGGAAATTCTGATGAGCACTGAGTGCCCATTTCTGGAAGGTTCTGTCATTCCTGGAGCCCAGGGCAGCCCCACCATAAGATCTAACAGGTGGGGAGAAAGGGCTCAGTACCAGAACTCTGGCCTTCTCCACGAAGAAACAATGTGGAAGAGGAACCTTCCTCAGGTAACCCAGCTTGGGGAACCTTTACCAAACACCTCCCACCTTTAGCAGCAAAAACCTAAAGTTCCAGCAGGTGGGGATATTACTACATAAAGGGATTGATGAGGGACCCAAGTTACACACCCCTCAGGTCAGAGTCAGAAATTGGGGGCTTTCCTTTGAAAGAGGGTATTACAGAGGATTCCTGGGGACCCGTGTTTTGAGTCAGTATTAAAATATTTTTCAGAATAAGATCTTGCAATTGTTTACCCATACTTTGATCTGGAGTCATACGATTCTAGAGCCAAATGGGATTTCAGGCCAACTCCTCTCCCATTCCTGAGCAACACACCCCACTCCCCCAACCCCCAGTTCATTGAACAGGGACCACGAACAGAGAGCTGGAGAGAATCCCCATGTCCCACGGCCAGGTCATGGTTCAAACAGTCTAGGATCTAGATCTCCTGATTTCTGCTTGACAAGACGTAAAGTTAAGTTTTCTTTTCTCTTCTCTTCTTTTCTTTTCTTTTCTTTTTTTTCTTTTCTTTTCTTTTCTTTTCTTTTCTTTTCTTTTCTTTTCTTTTCTTTTCCTTT